CTGAATTGTAATAAGTGTTGTATTAATGCAGGTAGCACATAACCACAAAACACTTCTCCGATGCTCCGTCTGCCCTCTGCTATTGGCACCATGAGCTACAGACAGCCCCATTGACCTTGGTGTCTGGGAGGGCTGCCGTTTGCCCTTGGACTACAATGCTGACGGCTTGCCTGTGAAAACTATTTTCCTGCTGTGTTTGAAGAGATTTCAATAGCAAGTGGCTTCCTGGAGCTACCTACTCATTTTAATGGTGATCAATGCAAAGAACGCCTGCTTGTTGGCAGAGACAATGCCAGGCATTGTGCTGTTGGTCACAGTCTGTCAACCACCTTTTTTTGAGTTGCCACTCTTTTTTATGTTAGTTTTTAGGTCAGTTCCAAGTCATTTAAGGTCCTGCTGAAACAGCTATACAAGTTTCTTGGTGCGACAGTGATCCGTGATGCACCAAGAAGGCAAAAATAAACAGATCAGCGCTCTTGAAGTAACCCGTTTTTATTTATATGGGTCCATCAGTTTAATGTTTGAAATAGGATGTTTTTGAATACAGTATAGATGTGAGTGTGTGTGTATCAATGTCTATAAAGGTACCAATGCTCTTCTGAGGTGAAGCTTCGGTAATGCATATTTTATGTGTTATAGACATCCTTTTTATTTTTTAACTTGATCTACTTTTTCCTCAAAAGAAAACGGTATTAAAAAGGAAAGGCACTACAGTACTATTTGATTTTTTTTCTTTCCTGTTAAACACAAAACTTAAAACAAAATGTCTAAATAAGCAGTTTAGATGTATGTTTTATATTTTGAAAGGTCTTTGTAATAAATATGCAAATTGATTTTCTTTTTGAGAAACTGGAAACTCCAAAGAATGACAAAGCTTCACAGTGTTTCGAGAAAGGGAAGATGCCTTATCCAGAAGTGTCCTCTTGCAGGGAAAGTGTTGCTAAACTCAACCACCAAGATTGTGCATCCCAAGAGATTTTTCTGACTTTAATCTTCTGATGCTGAAGCGGCTATGAATTGCAAATACAAGCCTGCATGCATGTTGTCAAGTCTTCATTTTGATATGTTGGATTAACAATGTGGCTTCAAGTTCAGTTTGTTTTAGGCAGGGTACTTATATGCTGTAGCTGCTAGAGCACACACACTGATTGTCAAAGAGCTTCCGTCTGCATGAGAGAACTGGCCAGGGAAATTATGAGCAGTAATTATGACCAGCAGGCCAGCAGGGTCAACACTTCTTCTTTTGTTTGACAAGTTCCCTGGGATCTTTTATATTTCATATTCAAATCTAGGTCTCATGTCGTATCTATGGCATTTCCAACAGTGCAGCACATTTCTACACTACCAGGGTGTTGAAGATGTACTGTGTTGTGGACAGGTTATTTCCTTTGCAAGACCCTGTGATTGTTAGTCATGGAGGCTGCCTACTGAGCCACCAGCACACCACTTTAGATGGTGATACAATTAAAAATGGATAGATCACACTGAGAAAGCCCCAATTACTTGAACATATCATTTTCTGAAGAGCAGGCTCCCCTCAACACACAGTTAAGTATAACAGTGTGAGATCTTTCATATTCTGGATCAAACTTTCTTCATTTCCTTTCCACAACATAATTAGGGCTTCCTTTTACACCCCGTGATTTTACTGTATAACTGAAATGCCACGGGTCAATTTAAAATCATTTTAATTGGAGATCAATAATAATCGCTTGCAGTTCAATTATCAATCTTGAAAAAAAGCCAGTAACACTTTTTTTCAGCTTCAAAATGGAAAGATCCAAAAATCAGGACTAGGAACAAAAATGGCACTAAATTCCAATAATATTTAATAGGATTTCCTTAAACACAATATATTTCTGTATTCTGCAAAGCAGCAAATATCCTTAAGACAAACATTGTATTAATATTGATATGAAAAAATGATGATGGGACTGTAGCAAGAATGCAGTGGTTAAAGGTTTTATACAGCTTTATAAATGTCAACATTACTGTATTAGCATTCTGTGTAGAATTACTTAATATGTTACAGATGCTTGCCATAAAGTAATTAAAGGATTATTCTAATACGAATCCAATTGACTGTTTGCTGTTGTGCCTTTGCTTTCTTGCTGTTAAAATTTCTGGTTAGGCACGCTTTCTAAATTATAGTAGTTTTACATTCAATTCCACCAAAATGATGAAAAAAACATGCAGACAAAATACCCAAGTGAAAAGATGCAAAGCTTTTATGTTGTTATTAATATGCTACTGTACAGAAAAATAAGCCCTTGAACTGGGAAACATGGAGCGTAAAAATCTCAGACAGACTGACAATATGGTAGTGTTGCAAACAACTTAATTTCACCAGATTCATGTAAAGCAGTTTTTCCATAGCTAGTGAGAAAATTAATTGTAAATATTTACAATGGATTTTGGGAGGTGTGCTAAATATGATAATCCTACAGCTGCCCAAGGGAAAGGAAATAACAAATTAATATAATGGATGTTCTGCTTATCATTGACTTTTCTTCAGCAGTGAATCCTATGGGATGCAGATATTCCCATACATGCTTTCTGTATTTATGGGGTATGTGTTTTCACAAATTTACATACAATAGTCATATTCAGCTCAGTGTGGAACAACATCTCAATACACATTTCGTATTTTCTTTATTTTTTTCCAGTTTCCATTTTTAAAGGCAATTCCAACTCCTGTTAATTATTCATTTATTTGTGCTCAATTTGGAAACAGGTTTTCAGATTTATTTTCACTTTCAGTACTCAGTGTCATTAATTGGTTTAAATCATCTAGAAGCATTTTTTAATGCACGACATACAATTATGGCACAAAAACTCAGACCGTGTGGGTGGGGGGGTTCACACATTTATTCTTTGAGGATACATTAATGATTAGAAGGGGTTGTGCACTGAATAATCACCACTGCCTTCAATCAGAAAGACTTAATTAGGTACAGTTCAAAATGTAAATGGCATTTGCAAAGTGTTTGACAAATACTGATGAATCCACAGCACAATTAACATTTTGTTTACACTTTTTACATCCTTATAATTAATGAGAAGCAATTTTAAGGGTTTACTATTGAAATAAAATACAGATTAATATGAATATTAGTCTGTTATAATAAATTAACATATTTATATTTGTGTGTTCCTTTTTTTGTATGAAGTTTTTTGATTCTTTCATTCTGGAAATAGGTAAGACATAATATAAACCATAGGTCTGACTGGTTGTTATCAGAAAAAAATAATGAATTTTACATCATAGCATGGGATTTTTATACAATTTATAGTTGTATGTTTTCCTAAAAGTAAATAAAGTGAATATCTCAGACTTCAATGCATATGAAATGTAAAATATTTTACATTCTTGCTTTTTAAAAGTAATCTCTGCATTCATATTTCTTACACATACCAAAAGTACTTGTTATTACACATTGCTAACCAATTAAACCAGTTCAGTATGATATGAGTGGGTGCTTTGTGTCTATGAACCCTGTCAAAAGTAAATAACATTTGGACCACTGGAGGGATACTGCACAGTAAGAATTCCATTTATAGATGCACTAGAGCATCATGGAAGATCTATAATCATAATTACAGTGACTAGACATGTCAGAGCTGTTGGTATCCAATGCAGACATCCTTACAATAGTAACATTATACAGTAACTCATCACTACAGGGTTACAGCTTGCATGTTAACATGGGTATCAACCCGACTTGCATACTGGTAAAATTTCTGCCTGTTGAATCAAGATTCTGTGTCTCATTTGGTGAGTATAGAGTACATATTTATTAGGAAAGCAATGAACAGATCACTGAGTGTAAATAAATGACAAATTAGGAGTTGGTTCGTGGTTGTCAATGTCAGTTTTACCAACAGATTCATTCTGACCACAGTTTGAAACCAGTGCTGGTGTCAGCAATACATATTAATAATTAAGAAGAAAAACAAAGATTTTGTTTCTAAAATGTTTCTATATACATTTTCTAGAACATATGGCTTACAATAAGAATTAATCCCTTGCTTGTGCATAATTGAACATATGTAGGATTGTTTACTACATTCCACAGTATTAATTTAGCAAGAGCACATTTCATTTTTTCCCTTGTCTCTCCAAGTCCTCTTTTCATTCCTCCTGTAACAGTAACCTGGTACCACAGGTTCACAACTTTATCAAGAGAGCACCAATGTTTTTACATACCGTTTCATGTTTTTATTTATTTTTCCTTGACTTATTTTTCTTTTTCATTAACAGGCATTGATCCCGAGCTGCATGTCTGTCAGCTCTCTGGTTGTTTAGATAAAAGACTGTCAATGCAAAAATGTCAGCTGCTTTCAAATATATCTTGCACATGAAAGGGCCATCATCAGAAATTGTGAACATTATCAACTGATTGTGGCTTAAAAACTTAATGGATGCAAGTTTGTGTGTCAAGAGGCATACAAAAGGGAGAATCTTGATATATAAAAACCTTAGCAGTTGTAAACACCATCTACTGCTAATTAATATTTCCTGCAGGTGCAGCCAATAATCTCTAATAAGATCAATTGATTCCACCTTAGATTGCAACCCTAAAAAAGAGGCTATATTATTCTGTTTCTTACCTGCTAGATATAATGTAAAATGTAATAATAAGAAGCCAGAAATTTGAAATATACAAGTTAAAATGTACATATTTGGGTAACATTCTGTAGTGCTGCATCCATTTCCTCCACAAAAGCCTGGAGTCAATGTTTGCATAGGGACTTCAAGGTACACTGATGCTTTTGATATAAATGACAGCAGTTCAGTCCCCTCTGTGACAGGACTCAGACAATGCTGCTGTACAATTCTCAGAGGCATAACAAAGGGAACAGTCCTATTATGTACACTACACATGTCTGTTAAGTCCTGGAAAGACCTGGTAGTCATGTGTACAACAGTATGTGTTGTGGTGCATAAGCCACACCTTTAGTATCTAAGCATATTGTATGCTTCTGTAAAGTCCTTAAGCTTTCAAGTCTGTTGTACACATTCTCAATTTTGTCACACTGTCTATGTTATAGACAGGAGCCTAGAAATTGCTGTAAATGCTTACGAGGTAGGTGAATTGTTTTTTATAATTACTTTGAAAGACATTATAGATGTATTTTTCAATAGACACGTCTTTAACTGCACAGATATTTATATACTGTATATGCAGTACACACATTATCATGTGTGGTTAATTTGGATGTACAGTATAAACATACCGTACAAGCAGACACAGACGTACAACATTTGATGCATTTCTGTGCTCTTGGATATGAAACACATTATCACTATTTCAGGGTGGTGTTTACCGAATGCAAATGCTTACAAATAATGCAAAAGGCCATAAAACACCAGATCCAGTACCTTTGAGATTCTTGTTTTGTAAGACTGATGAGGAAAATAAAATGGAAGTTGATCTTGACTTACACAAAAACTGCTGTGACTCAAATTGTCTGAAAATGCCCTGAGTGCTTTCTTAAAGAGGTCAAAATTATTTTGCTTTGTAGACTGTCCTGGAAAATGTTGGATGAATATGCATAATGTACATGACGGACCTCATTCTGTTTTAGTGAAAGCCACAGTTGTCTTAAATTTCATCAAGAGAAGTCTCACATCATGATTATTTGATACCTAGTTTTTATTCCAGTTTCCCTCCAGGCTTTTCAGATATATGTAGCATTGAGATATAGCTTAATAAAGGTTGCCACAACCAGACATGCCTTTATGGCCCTCCAATGCCTTGCATTTTGCATTTGTTATGGTAGTCATTGGGAATTTGAGGTTTACATATATAATTTGATGCGACTGCTCGAATTTATACATGTGATATTGAATTGCCTGCATTTGATAGAAGTCATCAGTCTACTCCATGATTTTCTGCCACTCTACAGCTAGCTTTATTTATTAGGTAATTTTACATTTATATTGTTTTGAACTTGTTGTAAACAGAAGTCATCTCTTGCACAGCTAAGTGTGTAAGAAACACAGTGTTAGATTATTTCATTTGATATCTCATGAAATCTTTAATAGCCCTTCAATAGTTTAACATAATTATTACATTTGAGAGACTTTTATATTCTTAAGACCCATCATAAATGATTCGTCCGTCTTTTTCACGTTGTGTCTTTGTAGTTTTAACTCTAGATATAATTTACCTTAATACCCATTGTTATGAATTTCAATAAATCCTATTAATACTGGGTATTTGCTTTTCTTTTGAAAACATCACTTTCCCCAGTGACTGATGTTACAAGAGCCCATTAAATTAGAAAATGTCCTAAATCATATTAAATGCCCTAGGTGCCTCTCATTTGCAAAAACCTTCTAAAGTTTTTATCCCCTTATAAAATCTCTATCTAAAATTCAACCGATTTTATGACCACTTTTCATATTTATTGCAGGTGTTATGAAAATGGAACAGAGCATAATAAAGGAGTGGAAAATTTTACATGTCTGCCAAGATTCCACTCGTTTCTAAAAAATCAACCTGGACCACTTCCTCAATGAAGGCAAGACGCCTGTTGGGTGAGTCTTAATACAGTATCTTTTTAAAGCAGCTTTCACATTCAGTCAGTTGCCTGCTTCTGCAGCATAGCTGTGTACGATGCTGTTGATGAGCCTGCAGTTTCACCTTAGTTGTCTCATTAAGCTTGTTAAGAACCCCTCTCGTAAATTCTGAAATTTTGTCAGTAGATTATGTTGCTCCCTCCTCTTCTCCAGCTCTGGCAGTGAATGCCCTGGGGAGGAGAGTGACAGGCCGTCCAGACATAGTGGCCAGGTCTTTCCTTCCCTCCCTCTTAATGTTCCACTTTCCTTTAGCTTATTCAGCTGCTGTCATTCACTAGCCACTCAGTGATCTGCATTCCATTAAGTCCAGACTGGTGACAGGCTACCAAATCTTCTACAGATGCCTTTTGTTATATTTCTCTTCCCCCCCATTATTCCATTAAAAAAAACTTACATACATTTATTTTCAACTGCAGAAGCCTGACTCGAAAAAAAAAAAGGTATTAGTACCTTTATGTACATCTCAATTATTCCATTCTTTGCTTGCAAAAAAATATAACTTGTTACTTTTGTTGTTGTTTTTTACTTTATTAAATGGTTATTCAACACATAATCTGAAAAGTTTAGATTTCCTTAAGGAACCTTGAAAATAACTTCCAGGTTATTTGCTCCTTTCAGACTCTCTGACGTCCCTGGTTACTGTTTCCTAGGCAACCAGAAGTCTGGTGAAGGGAATACAGGTACACACAACAACAAGTACAAGTTATAACTTTGTAAATTTAATTAACTTGCACTACCTTCAAATTTAACATAGAACAACTAAGTATTGTTTGCTAAAAGCATTGGAATTTTAGTAATTAAAAAATACCATCATTACATTTTAATATAAGAACAAAATATTTAACAGTTTTATTTTACTTAAATGAAAAGAAGGTTTTGTCACTTTCACTATTTAAGATGATACTGTAGATTGATTGTACCTGTATTGCCTGTACATGCATGTTCATTACAGTTTAAGATGTGATGCTAATGAGAAACTAAAGTTTCTTACTAAGATAAATTCCCAAGAAAGGGGATAAACAGGCAAGAATGAAAAAGAAGCATGCAACGTGATGTATAAAACCATAGAAATTACTTGCAATATTGTTTTCCCATGAGATTTCCAGTGGAACACCACTTGTATGAAGACACTAGATCCTTTTAACCTCATGTTGTGTGTGACATTTCCCAAATTTACTGAAATAACAATGGTTGATTCAATTTAATAAGTTCACAACTTTATGCCAAAACCACCATTAAATAAATATAGAGTGAGGCACACTAGGGGACTAGTGGCAGTCGTAATAATCACTGACGCCAGAAACCAGTTTGATATACAGTATTCATCCATTGGTGGGAAAGGAGGAGCTTGATTGCACAGACTTTAATACAGAGGACTCTTTTGCCCCACAATGTTATCCATGACTAAGGTTTTATGTATATTCAGATTACTTTAACTTCTTAAGTACTTATAGATGGAAAACAATTTCCCTTAATGCACAGCAACCGATCAATAGATGTAAATGCTAGGATTAATTTAGTAAGAGATCCCCACCCATAATTCCACTTTAAAATAATGGGGAAATGTGTTTTTATTTCAGCAGTTTGCAGTTAGCAATACTGTGTAGACATTTCTTAAATTAATTTCATTTACTGAAATTGCTTTCTAAATATTTTAATGGGAAGAATGTAAATGCTGTGTCATGTCACATAATACAGAGCCTTGCCTTGCTAATTTTTTTTTATTTTTCATAGCTCTTAACATTTACACCATACCAAACTAAAACAGAATTCCTATTAACTACCGATGTTAAAATATTCATCAGAATTTCAATGTTGTCTCTCACTGAAATTAAATGTTCCTTATTGAAGCATTCATTTTTTATATCCTTTGCCAGAACCCGGAATATGTTAAAGCGGCATTATTGTTTTTGTCCAATAGCAGTCGTGGAAAGTAGATATGAGGTAATGGAGTGGAAAATGATGAAGAGTGTGGATACTGCCTCAGAATTTCTCTCATACGTTTGATTTTACAATCACCTGTGGTTTTACAACATAAAAAGAACAAAGTGGAGAGATCTGCTTCCTGGCATTCAAAAATCTAGCCATGTTTTTTTTTTCCTTTAGTATGACATGCTTTTACTTCTTCGATAAAATTGACTTTGTCCTGTGGAATAATTTTGGAGTGCATCTACATATTATGTGTGCAGGTCTGCCTCCTCTGGAATTTGATCATGGCCACTTACAGGCAAGTCTAGTATAAGAACCACAAAGCACCACTCCTTAGACAATGAAGAATTATGTTCATTTTCTTTGAAATCCTGCAGTGGGAGAATTTAATGCTGTCTATGTTCCAAAGGGGGTAGCAAGACCTCGTGTAACAGGCTTGGTACCAATAAGTCATGTTACATCAGGTCTCAGTAAGGAAGGTAACTAATTACCTTCTAATAAGAATAGCATGTTTGTGCCTCCTTCCCTGATGTCCTCAACTGGTTGTGTTACTATGCTTGCACATAACTGCATCCTCAACATAACTGTAGTGTTGATGTAGAGCATGAACTCTCTAAATGCTTTTCCTTTTGTAACTAAACATTGATTCACTTTTAAGAAATGCATGCAAGTAATAATAATGAATGTATTTTCCTTCTAGCAATTTTAACATTAGAGCTTAGAAACATAGACCACTTGCCTTTAAATTAGACATCCAGGAAACACAATAAGCAGAGCACAGGAAAACAGTGGTCCAACAGAATTTCTAGATGCCCGAAAAACTATCACATTTAATGGCAAAACTGAGGAACTCCTGAGTCTGAGAAAGCTGATATAACATAGAAAGCTTGTTAATATGCTGGCATGCAGTGTTTTATACCTCAAAGATACAGATTTCACCCTTGCAGAAAATAACTCTTTCCAGTTTAATTACAAAAACCTCAATTACAATTAATCTTCTTTTGTAACAAACCCCTGCTTCACCCAGCCTGCTTAAGTTTGATTGATATAGTTTCACAAAAGTGCCGACATCCTTGTGTGTTTTAATCGACGAGCAACAGTTGAGAGATTGGCAAGTGACAGAGACAAAAGCTTTCAGTCAACAAGCAGCTTAAGATCTATTATTACGGAGTGTACATTGTGTCCTAGACCTGGTAAACACATCTTCATTGATCCACTGAAAGATAGAAATATTTTCTCTTGTGCAGCTCAATCAAGAACCTTTCACAAAGGCAAAGTGCAAACAATATTGAAAAAAGCAGAATGAGACTGACATCCTAGTCAAACAGTAAATAATGGTGTGGTCCAGCAAAGCTATCTATAACCTCAGTAACTGCTGTCAGCCAAGATAAAATGTGTAACGTGTCTATTGCAACCTCTATGAAGATCAAAAAAGGTGATGTAGTTTATTCCTCTTAATGTCAAACTCAGTTTAGTATTTTCAAAAGGTGTCTTGAGTAAACTAATGCTAAGCAGACTTTTAGCAAGTTTACATTTGATATATAACAGATGACCAACTCTACAAGGCTTTGCTGTGAATTAGAAGGAATCATTTAAAAAATGTTCATAAACCTATTCCTCCAGGACTGTAAAAAAATGAAGTAAGTCTTATTTAAATTAATGATTAACAGCTTGGGGTGGCACAGTGGTGCAGAGCTAGCCACTGCTTACTCACAGCACTGGGGCCCTGGATTCAATTACAGACCTGGGGTGCCATCTGTGTGGAGTTAGCATGTTCTCAGCCATTTTCATGTGGATTTACTCCAGGTACTCTGAATTCCTCCCACATAACAAAATACTGGTAGGTTATTTGGCTTCTTGGAAGATTGGCCCTAGTGTAAAAGTGTGTGTTTGTGTCTTTGTCTGTGTGGCGGCCCTGTGATGAATTGGCATACCATCCATGGTTACCTTGCCTTGTGCCTGTTGTTTGTTGGGATTATTTGAATTAGATATCCACAGACCCTGATCTGGCATTACAAGATTCCCTTTTGTCATATTTATTTCAATTTAGAATTAATGCTATTTATTTCTGGAGAACATCTTACACCAGAGGGTGACATCTGCAACAGGCAAGGTGCAAGGTTTCCTGTTTCATAGGCACAACAGAAGAATGAGGACATGAAGACAGGCTCCTCTGACCCCCCATCTTTTGACACACTACAAACTCTTCAGCAAGGAGCAGAGGAGATCTGTTCCTTCGCTGAAATCACCATCACTTGCTGGTACACAGGGTGTTAAAGGGGTCACAGGGGCCACTATTTTGCTGGAGGTTGAAAACCGTTGGCTGAACCCTCAACCCAGCCCATGCAGCACTGAGCCAATTGCGTACTGCCACTTGGGGAATCCCTGTCACACTCACTTAGTGCCCAACCTGTACTTTGAATCTTATGTCTATTGCCTCTACAATGTACCAAAGCAGGGTTGTTCTTAAGACATCACAATTCACACAGGGATTACGGATATTCTCATTTTATTCTTACTTAAAACTAATTACGTACGAATTAAGTAATTCACTTGCAGAAATTGGTATTAATTTCCTCAGCAAGAGATAAAAGATCTAGAAAACCTGCTAAGCTAAAGCCTGCAGGGACTAGAGAACAGGGTTCCCCAGAGTTTTAGGGAATAAAACTGACTTAAAAATAATTGAGTATATTTAATGTTTGGATACATGTAATTTTCTTGAAAATGTGCAGATAACGTATTTTTTAAATTCAAAATATTCAAAGCAGATTGTTGTAGTCTGGACTAAACTTGTTCATAGTTGGTGTACGACTTCAATGAGCTTTTCTTTCTTTGCAAAAAGTACACAGGAAAAAAAAATGTAAATTGGCTTTTTCTGTGCTTGTTTACTCTATCAAGCTTATTGCTACAATTTAAATAAAACCCTTTTTTAATGCAGTAATTAACCCTCCCTGTGAGATACTGATTGGTGGCTTTTGAAGGAACCTTGTTAATACCCGTTACCTGTTAATAAGAGAAACATATGTGAAAATAGATACACTTAGTTTGATTGAATAATTGACGCAGAAGGAGTGAGATTCCACATAAGGGAGAATAAAAGATAGGATAGGCTCTGTGTAGAATTGGCCACTCCCCTGGACTAATGAGAACATGTATAAGAACAGCCATTAGGTAAAGGGTTTCAGTCTGTAGTTAGGCACCATTCTGAGAGTGAAGAGAATAGTGTGGATGGGGTCGTGTGTACTTCCTAGCTATGCTGTCAGCAGGCAGATGTGCAGTCTCAGAGGAGAGAGGGATGTGAAAGAGAGAGATCAATAAACTGGCTGTTACTGTGCCAGGGGCAAGTGGTGATTAACGAAAACAGAGCTCTCCCTGGCCAAATAGGATCAGCCGTATAGTTAGAGATGAAAATAGGGAGTTGTTGTACCGTGTGCAAAGATTGTATTTTAGGGGAAGGCAACAAGGCTTGAAAGAGCATTGACTGAGTTATTGATTAGATTAGTGGAATAAAATGAATAAGTGTAATTAAGGAATTGAAGAATTGTAACTGAGCAACATGGAGTAAATTGGGAAGAATACTCCAATGCCTGATTTGATTAGATAACAGAAATTAGTGAAGATGAGAGGAACAAATCTGAGTATGCGAAACCTTTGAGAGATGAACAATGAAATGAAAGAGTTCTGTCAATGAGATTGAATGACAGACCACAAAAAACACGGAAAATTAAGGTGACAAACTGACATTACTAT